AAGTCCAGGGGTTCCTGTACAGACCGATCCAATAATAACCAGTATCTGGTTTTCCTCTGATGGCCTCAGTGTTTTCTGCCTCATTCTCAATCATGGCCAAGTCGGTGAAGTTCTCCCTGCAGTACTGTTGAGCAGACTGCCAGGTTTTCTTGGTTGGGATGTGGAAATAGTTTTTCTTGTTGTTCTCTGAAACTGCAGCAGAAAATAACCCACAGTGAGTTCAGTTATTCCTCTCAGATATTAACAACAGATGCTCAGAGCTTGGATCCCGTTTAGCTGAATGAGAGGCTACATGAGCACACTAACTTAAATCTATTATCCGGTAAAACTACTTCATTTGAGCTTTAAGTTTTCTAACTCCTCGCAGGGTGCTCAGATTTGGAGAAAAAACACCTTAGAAATCAGTAAAAAAGGGAGTGATTACATTTTTCTGTCCGACACAAACCTTAAACAGGACCTCATTTTACATGCTTTAGGTTTGGGTCAAACATTAGAAACTGGAAATTGCTCACAAGCTCTTTATTGCTTTTCATTTTTTTCAAATTAATAAAGTGGAATATTACCATTGTAGCAGATGAATTTTTCTGTCGTCTTACATGTGTAATCATGCCAAGATGTATCAGAATGGATCAATACACACAAATTCTTTTCATCGGTATATATTGGTCGTCCATACTCCCAGCTCTGGTACCCGGTTCTGCTGGTTTCTCCTGTTGCTGACCACCTCCAAGAGTTGGTGTCACTGCCCATGGAGGTTTTCCAGTTTTCAGGGTCATCCCAGAGTCCGATCCAGGCCAGGGAATAAGAGAAATCAGCTTTCAGCCTGCTGATGTCATCCATGTTGTCAAAGGTGGCCAGGTCGGTGTATTTCTCTCTGCAGAACTGTCGGGCTTCGGTCCAGTTCTTTGGTGTGGAAACATAGTGGTACTGACGAGGGGGGGGCTGTGAGCAGGAGCTGAGGGTAAGTCCTGTGTATTGATGGAGGAAAAGTTACAGATACAGAAGATATAAATGTTACATACTGAAAACAAGATAATACCTTAAATGTGTGTAACATCCATGAAAGTTTTCTTACCAGAGGAGAGTACGATTATCAGGGTCATGAAAAGATCCATCTTTGTTTTAACTGCAAAAGAAAGAAATACTAAAGGGAACTTTGGCAGTTTTAAATCTTCATACAATTTTTTCACTTATAACACAAAAAGGTGCTAAAGGCTTTTTCCACACAGTATTTTTTTCCCTTCAAAATGACACATAAATCTGATTTTTTTTCTCATTTGCGCAACGATTACTCAAAGCTGACAGCTGAGGACCAAAAGTACCGATGAGAGTAGGAAAAATATGTTTCCCTTCAATCAGAGCTGAAACAAAAAGTCAGATTATTATTAAAGGGTTGGTTTGAAAACCTCTGTAAGTAATTTTTTCCTCTAGAGTCCAGCACAGTCGGATCTAGAGAGGCTTTCCTTTTCCTGCCTT